ATATTCAATCTGGATACAATTGACATTTATGGAACACTCCACCCAACAAGAACATAATATGCATTCTTCTCAAATACACATAGAACATTCACAATGATAGATTATATCCAGAGTCATGAAAAAAAACCTTAATAAATTTAATAGACTTGAAATCATACAAAGAATGTTCTCTGACCATAATGGAATTAAACTAGCAATCGATAACATAAAGATAACTGGAAAACCTCCAAACACTTGGAAATTAAACAATATAATAATCCATGGGTCAAAGAGGAACTCTCTGGGGAAATTAGAAAATATTTTGAACTGAATGAAAAAACACATCAGAATTTGTGGGATGCAGCTAAAGCAGTGCTTAGAGGGAAATATATACTATTAAATGCTTATATTTGAAATAAAAAAAGATCTCGATTCAATATTCTAAGTTCCTACCTTAAGAAACTAGAAAAAGCAGAGCAAAGTAAATTCAAGACAGTAAGAAGGAAGGAAAGAATAAAGACAAGAAAGAAACCAATGAAATTAAAACAACAGTAAAGATCATCAATGATGAAACTGAAAGTTGATTCCTTGAAAATTTCAACAAAATTGATAAATGTCTAGCCAGATAAATGAAAGGGGGAGTGGTGGGAGAGAGAACACAAATTACCAATATCTGGAATAAAAGAAAAGATATCACTATACACCCCACAGATATTTTTAAAAACAATAAAAGAATATGACTAACAACTCTAAACAAATAAATTTGACAACTTAGATAAAACAAACCAATTCCTTAAAAACCACAAATTACAAAAGCTTACCTAAGAAGAAATGGATAATTATCTATTAAAGAAATTGAATTTATTGTTTAAAGTATTTGATAGTTTCTTGAGATTATGAAATTATTCTGTATCCCATTTGCTGTGGAGGTTACACGAATCTATACATGTCTTAAAACTCAGAACTGCAAATGCCTCTCTTCAAAAAAGTCAATTTTATTGTTAATTCTTAGAATTAAAAAAAAAAAAATCAGTTCAGAAAAGCCAAATGAATGAATATCAAAGTGGGCAAAAGTAAATAGGAAATATACAGAAGAAAAAACAAAAACTGTAAAAATGTTCAACTTCCATAGTAATCAAAAAATGCAATTAAAATAACAGTAATAAGTCATTTGGTACCTAAAGTTTGATCATAACAAATATCAAGAGGATGCAGTTAAACTGGATTCTCACTGCTAGTAGGAGTACAGCTGGCTAATCCCCTAGGAATGGAATTGCACAAGAAGAAGCTAAACATGGGTCTGCCCTTTCTCCCCCAGCAATGCCCCTTCTAAAATTCTCATAGGAGCACAATAAAGGACATGCTCAAGAAGTTTCATTGCAGTATTGTCTATAATAGAAAAAATGTTTTTAAAAGCTAAAGAATTAATATATGGTATATTATCCATAGTGAAATACTATATTTTATGTGATATGTCATGATACGTTATTTTGAATAAACTTAGAACTATATAGAATCAACTTAGATAGTCTCAGTGATACATTGTTGAATGCAAAAGCAAATTGTAAAATGATACTATTTATGTGGTTTGAAAACATGAAGAACAATGTTATAAATTGTTGATGAATATATACAAACGCTCTAAAAGTATAAAAATACTGAAATGTAAACACAAATTCAGGATAG